CAAAAGAAAATTGCAAGTGAGATTGCTATTAAAGTGCGTGTACTTGCAGTCAACATGTCTGTGTTGTGATAAAATAAAAAGATTTGAACATACATGAACCAAAACTACCTTTTGTTCAAGYATGTGGATTGCATACATGAAAAAATTGCCAAATATTCTCCACCAAACAGCTTATTTTGCTGTTGCTATTGACACTTGTTTTGAGATTCTGGTAGTTACCAATTCATATACAGTAACTACTGACAGATTGATTTCAAAACATTTTAAAGACAGTGTTTTTTCTGGTGCTAGCCAAGAAAAAAAGCCCCCTAGTGCTTGACACCTTGGTGTATTTGTATAATGCTTTTTCAGCTTTATATAGTAAATCTTATTTAAATGACCACTTTTAGACCACACTGTGCCTCATGCAAGAACATGTTAGTATTCTTATCCTAAATTTCTCTTACTTTGTTCGTATGAAGGGTTCGTACGAACACGCCACGTCAGATTCAACAAACTCTTCTATCTTCAGGAAAAGTGTGTAAATGAGCTGCGTAAAAAGATGAATGCATTTCAGCTGCTCGAGCATGGGGAGAGGTGATTAGCATAATTTACCACCCCAAAAACACCATATAAGGCTACATTTCCTGCCACACATACCAGGGAGTGTCCATTCATAAATGACATGGCTAAGTAAAAAAGAAGAACTTTAAGAGTTTGGAGATTGAAGTCCTGCTCTCGGAGATCCATTAAAAAAGTCATTTTTAGCAGCGTCAGCTGTGGAAATAAAGGATCTGCTTTAAAGCCAAGGAATTAAATGATGACTGCTGTTAATGTGTCTCATGTGGGTCGTATGCAGCATTTTAACATGTCTCCAAACTTCAATTAACGCATAATTTTAGTAGTTTTTTTAGTTTGAGATCTTCATATTAATATTGTAGTGTTATACAACAGCATTAACAGCCAATTTAATTTAATCTAACCAATTCATGTCATTAGTTACATTTAAAATCTAATTCCAATTCAAACTCAATAACCTATTATCAACATATTTATGGAGTTTATTTTCAACTCAAAATATCTTGAAACTAATGAAATATAGTTATTAGTGAAGAAAATCAGTCTGGATAACAGCAGACTGACTGCTCGTAAAATATAGCCTACGACAGGTCTGGACCACTCGAGAATTTTGTTCGTATCTGAAAAAAATCTTACAAGATGAGAAAATTGGTGAAAACCACAAATTCTCCTAAATAACTCGTTAGCACTAGAACAAATCTGTTYGTATGAATGGTTCTTGCCTGAGGGCCATTGTCTTTTACTGGTTYTATCAGTCATTTTATTGGGATTGTGTTTTATTTTTGGTTTGCTTTATTTTACTGCACATTGTATTTTTACTTCTAATTTACTGATACTGATTAATGAAAATAAGTGAAAGTTCGTAACGTAACGGAGTGTTGCTTTACAGCAATAAAAACAGGAGGAAACTTTACATTGGACTGAGGTTTGTCATTTGAGGTGTGCTTATATGCAATGAATTGTCTTCAATGCTTGTTTTCATACAATGACATTTGTGCATTTGACTTGTCACACATGACATGCTCAAATGGAGTAGCAGGTCATTTTGTGAGCACTTAGGGATTAGGTATCTTGCTGAGGTCAAATGTGATACAGTTAATGTTCAGCCATTAATGATCATACCCATGAGAAAACATTGCATTTAAATACACCGAGTTCAGAAAACTAAATTGAGTCATTTTGCTGCATTTCACTTTGATACTGTGAAYTGAAAATCTTCGCATATCAAGTGAAAAGTTTGGGTACAGGGCTAAGGATGGTCCATCCAGAGGTCAGAACATCCAAACACACTGAGCCGTGTGGTGTACCTATAGTTTTAATATAAACAGAACTTTGTTTAGACAATTTTCTGCATTTTCAATTTAAATGCTTGAAAACAAAACCCCTAAAGTCAGCTTAAGATGGTCTAAATATATATTTTAAAACACCACAGCAGCYGTTATAATTTAAACTAAGACTCAAGAGGGTGACTAAATGCAACAGTACAACGTGTAAACTTCCAATGTGAAATGAGATGAACTTACCTTTGATCAAATTACGTTTGGAATAAAGGCACATTTCAGCTCCGACTTTGTTCAAAATAATTTATTAAGTTTCAATTTGACATGGCAAAAGAAAACCTTCAGGTTCATTTGTGGTTGAGGTACTTCACAAAAATAAAGTCCACTTTAAGTCACCGACCTGACAGACATTAACATTTCTTTTTAGGTGCTGGAAGTGAAGCCATTTACCAAAGCAACCYGACTTTGGGTCCTTTGGCTTTTCAGGAGTCTTGTCAGGACCAGAAAAGAAGTTAAATTGCATAGGAAACTGGGATAGATTTTTCTGAACGAGGGGGCTCCCCAGTAGATGTCCAGAAGAGCAGCAGGGTTGTGCCAAAGGGTTAATTACTGAACCTTCTTGGGGAAACTTTGGCTCACCAGGAAACAATGGCAGTTTACCAGGACTCCCTGGATCACCTATATTTGAGCTCAGCTGGAAATTGTGGCAGACTCCCTGGGTCCCCCAGTGGATACTTTGGCTCAGCTGGAAACAGTGGCAATTTACCAGGACTCCCTGAATCTCCTACTGGATACTTTGACTCCACATGAAACCAAGGATCACAGATGCCCTTGTAGACAGGGGTACTGGGCCAATTCTGCAAGCATAGAAAACCCCATAGCAGGTAACTTTGTGCAACTGACAACAYTGGCAGCTTACCAGGTCTCACTGGATCCTCACTTGGATACTTGGGTTCAGCAGGAAACACTGGTGGTTATAGGACTCAGTGGATCTCCTACAGGAGACTTAGGCTCAGTAGGAACAACTGGTAGTTTGCCAGAACACACTGGATCTCCCATAGGAGAGACTTAGGCTCAGCAGTATGAAACCAAAGATCACAGATACTTTGTTGGTTGGGGATCTTGGGCCACCAGGGTGGGCATAGTTGGTAGTTTGGTACAACAGGAGGACACATTGGCAGATTACCAGGTCTCACTAGATACTTGTGCTCAGCAGGAAACACTGGTGGTTTGCCAGGGCTCATTGGGTCACCTGTTGGATACTTGGGCTCAGCAGGAACCACTGGTGGTTTGCCAGGACTCACTGGATCTTCTGTTGGCTACTTGGGCTCAGGAGGAAACCAGGGACCTCAGATATGTTGGTRGTTTGGGATCTTGGGCCACCAGGKTGGGCATAGGTTACCCCATAGTTGGTAGTTTGGTGCAACAGGCAACATTGGCCGATTAACAGGTCTCATTGGATCCTGATTTTGGAAACATGGACTCAACAGGGAGCRCTGGTTTGCCAGGACTCACTGGATCTCCTATTGGGTACTTGGGCTCAGCAGGAAGCCATGACTCACAGACACCACAATCATGATTGGGAATTCTGGGCCACCTAGATGGACAAAGGAATCCCAACAGCGAGTAGTTTGGATCCACAGGCAACTTTGGGTCATTTCCAGGACCCACAGGACCTCCAATTTGGTAGTCTGGCTCAACAGGCATCTGGGACTCATGGCTAGCTGTTTTGATAAGCATTATTCAGCAGTTACAGTTAATTGGAAATATAGTTGAATAGACTAAACTCTTTAAGTAAAACTTACCATTCACTTGACATCTTTAACTACTATTGAGAATGCTAGCAACCTACAAAGATAGGTTCATGTTTCAGTATTTGTAGAAMTTTAAATTTTATGAAGTTGTTTAAAACATACCTCAAAAGAGCTGCCATGATAATTTTATAAAGTTCACCTATTGACAGTGAGCTTAGAAACCTCTGAGCATTTCTGCCAAAACATACTAGACAGAAGACAATGAATCAGATGATGCTTGAAACCTTTTCTATTGCCTACCTGTCCCYCCTACCTTGTTAAGCTAAATGAACATATAGGTTAAATGAAGGAAAGCACTGCTAATTATTTTGCTGGAGAATGTTGGTACAGAATAGTTCAAATAAGACATTAAAAGTTCATCTTTTGATTGAARCAAATCTGTGATAAACAAGCATTAATCCTGATTCACTGCAATATTATCACCTATGCTGAGTACTTGAGTTTCAGAAGCTGATTCAAAAGCAAGGTACATGTCTGCCAAAGTTATTTTTATTTTAGATTTGTGTATTTAAGTTTGTGCACTTGTAGAGTAACAGCATAATCTATTTTGATTTGCTAACTCATGTCAATACGGATTTGTTTTTACTGCTTCAAAKGAAAAAATAAGTTTTACCATAAACAAAAGTACTTTTAGATACAACAAAACTGCACATTTAAAGAACTAGAGCAACAATAAAAATGTTTGAAGATGTCAAAAGAATAGATTTTTGCAAACTTCCCATCTCTAAGTTAAGACTATATTTTGTGAACAAATGAACACTTGTGTAATAATGTTAATGGTCATTTTTAGTCAGTGCCTTCAAGACACATTTTGTTACGCGTTTGTAAACTCACACAATGGCTAATCTTTAAAGTCAGTAAACACAAAAAAAAAAAAAAAACCGAGTCAAAAGTCACAGTGCACCCTATGACAACTTGAATATCTTTGCTACCAGCTGTGGTGAAAACTGTGTGCCGAGCTAAATATGCTCTCACCTTTTTAGTTTTAGGCACATAATTTCATGAATATATTGAACAGTACTAGAAGTGCAAAGAAACTCGAGAGTTTACAATGCATTAGCTTTCCAAAAAAAAATTCACAACTCAAAACAGTCAAGATAGTTTAGTAGAGGAAACCCAAAACTACTCAGTGTGAGTAGGTGTTTTTATAGTGAAAGCCCCAAATACAGCCCATCACTTTGGAACTAAACCAGCTTTTTAGATGAAGTAAATGGGTTATACTTTCTCATGATWTAATTTTAAACCTTTCAATTTTGTTCAGAATTTTAGTTGGAGTTACAGATCTTACCAGAAGCTGCCATTTAAAGGGCTAGCATAAAATTAAGTACAACGAGTCCTTGAATACATCTGAATTGTACATATTTAACTTTATTGGTTGAAATACGTTCCACATGATCAAGACCTCAAACCAGAGCAGAAATGTTGTAGTTATACGATGTTGAAACAGGTTTCCTGGAGTTTGACATTGACTAAATCACTGACTTGAAGTTAAACTGTCATCCAGAAACAAAGGCAAAATAAACCACTTTTATTTCAAAATCCAGCACAGTTAACATTAGGAAACTTATTAAAAACAAGTACTTATAAATTGATAATCTTATTGCAGCTGAAACATGACATGAATAATAGCAAACAGGCTCCCCATAAAACCAGACAGATCCTGATGTTACAGAYTGACCTGATAAAGACTATTTTGGTACATAGTAAAACTGAGAGCTAGATGGCTGCCTGGTTTTGAAGTGTGCCTTGTTGGCTGGGTGCCGTGGCCGAAGGACATAATGTGGCCTCTGAGGGAGGTGGGCAGGCCACCTGGACTTATACCGTGGTGCTCTGTGAACTTGAGGCTTGACATCAGGCTTCTCATGTTGAGGCATCTGGCGTTCCATAGGATCTTGAACCAGGTAACCATGGGGCTGGGACTCTCGGGGCATGTATTCATGGGGCTGAAGCTGGGGCCTTCGAGACTGGTAACCATGAGGCTGGGGTTCCCAGAATTCCTGCGGCAGGTAACGGTGGGGTTCTCTGAACTCCCTTGAAGGATAACTTTGGGAGTAAGGCTCTAAGAACTGAATGCCATAAGGCCGGGGCTCTGGTTGATATTGCTGAGGCACTTGAGCACTTTGACGCAAACGCTCCTGAGCACTTTGACGCAAACGCTCCTGAGCGTGGTAATCATAGTGTCGAGGTTCATCAGGTGAATATCCATGATGCTGAGGGGAGACAGGAGACCACTCAGGCAGAGGTAGAAAAGCATATGGTGGTGGTGACTCCTCCAGTACCTCAGGTTTGTAGTTGAGCAGCTTTAGCAATCTACGTAAATGGAATGACAGTTCAGGTAGGACATGGGATTTTGAATTGTTGGGTGGACAGATAGGCTGTTGGGGTGGTGGACAAAGCAGCCGCAGGGGTCTTTGAGTTGGGCATGGAGGCTGGTCAGGATCTGTGGGTAGGCAGCTTCGTGGCTCAGCAGGATTATCTGTTGTCGCCTGTTGAAAACGGTTGGATAAGTTCTGGTGCTTTAGTACAGATCTGTCTTGTTTTAGTGGTTCGGCTTCAGGAAGCTCGCTGGCAGTGAGATTGTAGCTGCTCGTCTCATTTGGTTCCAAGGATGACTCTTCAGTTGGCCCATTGACCCACAAAGATTCCTCTCCAGCATCATTGCTAATTGAGTCTCCTTCAAAGTCTACATCCAGTTCATCTTCAGACACTGTATTATCTCCAGATCCAGCTCTGGATGCTGTTCAAGAAAAACACACACACATTAGTGCATGCATACAACTAAAGTTGATATTTGAACAAAAACTTACTAAATGCTTGATATCCTTTGGCAGTTAACAAGGAAAACAGGAGCAATCTGGAGACAACAGTAAAGTTTAGTTTCCACAACAGATCACACAAAATATTTAGATAGCAATTTTTCAAACCATAGGATTTAAAATTACCACAACATTCAAACATTTCTGCAGTTTTTTCTAACATTGGAGATATTGCAGCATCAGGAAATTATTTGTATTTTAGAATTGGGCATAACAAATTTGTTCTTAATGAAGTTTAAAAATACTTGGAAGTTTTGATATAGAGTTTATGTACATTTGTGAAAACCTGGCACGGTTTGTCAAAATATATGTTTTAGCAAAAAGAGTGCCATTTACAAAGTCTTGTTTAGTGTCTCACTTAAAATTCTACCAGAAAAATTGGCAAGTGAAAAAAAAATTTTTTGAGGTAAAAGTTTAGTAAATTTAATATTTCACTTTCACCTGAAGATTCACTTTTCACGTATAAAACAATGAAAAGACAGAAAACACTATAAACTTGCCTTAGGAGGAACCTGGTGGCTTCAGCCATCATAAACAGCAAACTCAGCTGAGGTGCTCACTCAGGCAGTTTTATCAACTCCTTACCTCAATCACTAATTAGACACAGTTGAGTAGACAGGTGAGGCACATAATGGGAGGTTTATTAATTTGAATAAACCAGGAAAGATTTATAAAGGTAGATATAAGTTGTCACGAACTGTTTCTGTTTTACTGAGACTCTCAGCCTGTAGATAAAAAATGCTAAGCCATAAATATCTCACTCTTATTCAATTTAAAAGGCAAAACACTGACACTCACAAAATTACCTTCTACCCATAAGCTGAACATTTAGTGCCAGCCACAAAAATCCTTAAATGTTGATGACGGATCGCTAGTTGTAAATAAATCTCGTCAAGACACTTATCACWAAGATTAAGATCTAGATTAATCGATTAATAACCGGAGCTAACTTTAGTTAGTAAAGAAAACTACAGTTCCCATGAGCAATACAATTACGCAAGCCCAAAGTAACTTCCTGTATTTTATTTTCAAAATAAAACTAAAGTCAGCGTTTCTYTCGTCCAAAAACGCAGTAGTTCACATGAGCACGAGTTTGTGCTTTTATTTTGAAATTAAGRTCATTCCTCGGTGTTTCGTCGACCCCCAACCGGAGCGTCCGACAGTTCGCTACCTGACAGCCGTTTTTCCGTATGCTTCTCTCCGCGGGTACCCCCGCCTCCGCGATGAGACTCAGTGTGGCCGGAGCCGTGCTGCTGGCCGCGGCCGCTTACTACGTGTACCTGCCGTTACCGAGCGGCGTGAGCGAGCCGTGGAAGCTGATGCTGCTGGACGCGCTGTTCCGGAGCTTCATCCAGGCGGTGAGTGAGTGATGCGCCCGCAGACTGACAGGTTGATGTCGGTGAGAGACAACAGAGCTGTCACAGTCAGAGACATGTCTTACATTTACCACAGAGGGAGACAGCATCAGCTTAAAGCAATGAAACCACTTATAACAGAAACAACACATATTATGACCACATTATGTCCTCGTTCTTGTTATATTTAAAGTTAATAAACTGCAGTAAAAATACTGTGTGCATTGTGATTGTTCCTAAATATAAAACCGTTTTTACAAAAAGTGACTGAAAGTAGTGAAACCATGCAGGAAAGTGTCCCCTGACATAGTTAAACATCAAATTATTACTAAGATTATTACTTCATGTCAAGCAGTTCAGTATATTTTTAATATGGATAAATCTGATGACTGCCCTTATCCATCATTAATTGTTTTGATTTGTAATTTTTTTCAGTCATCGTTGTGGCATTTAAACCTAAACCTGTTGCAGCTTTATACTTATGTTTAGTGCAGAGGAGCCCAAAGTGGGGCCTGCGGGCCAAAATTGGCCCATCAAGCCATTTGATTTGGCCCACCAGCAGTTGAGTAGTTATTAGGCTGTAACCTGTTGTTCTTTGTAGAAACTGTATTTTCCACTTAGTCATTTCATCCATTGGCCAAGTGACTAAATAAGGGACTTATTTATAGTTTTCACTCATGTTGTTGACTTTATCTTTGATACATTAAGATTAAACATGAAGCATGAAATACAAGTAACAACAAGAGATATTTAGATTAGATTTAACCACACATGTAGATTTTTGCACTTTTTAAGGCCATAAAAACTCATAWTTTATCAATTTATTAAATGTCCCATGAGCTTTTCCTACTTGAGCGTCTGGCAGACTTTCTCCAAGTTCACAAACTAAAACAAAAGTGGGCCACCACACTGGCTGCTAGCTTAATTGTTAAAAATAAAGGACTTTACTTAAAAAATATTTGTATTTCATGTATTATATTACTGCATTTGGCCCGCAGCCCCCAATACATTTTCATTTTGGCCCCCTTGAGAAAAATGTTTGGGCACCCCTGGTTTAGTGTATCCATGTATTTAGTCTAGTACAGAGGTGCCCAAAGTGGGGCCCGTGGGCCAAAGTTGGCCCACCAAGCCATTTGATTTGGCCCACCAGCAGTTGTCCTGGTTCCTAGATTGTAATCTCCTGTCTTATGTAGAAACACTATATTTCTACTTTGTCTTTTCAACATTTGGTCCAATTATACGTACAAGGAGCTGTAGTCAGATAGTCTTAACTCATGGTACTTATTTTATATTTGAATTATTTTAAGATTAAATATAAAATACAAGTAACTATAAGTGACATTTAGATTAAATTTAAGCCCATTTCTAGATTTGCACACCTTATAAGACCGCATATACTCCATTTTAAATTATGAAAAGTCCCATGAGCCTTTGCTGCTCGAGCATACGTTGAAATTTCTCCATGTCCATGGGCTGAAAACAAACAAACAAACAAACAAACAAACAAACAAACAAACAAACAAACAAACAAAGAAACAAAGAAACAGAATGTGAGCAACCACGTTGGCTGCTAGCTTAATTATACAAAGTAAAACAGCTTCACTTAAGAAATATTTGTATTTCATGTACTACTGTATATTACTGCGTTTGGCCCATGGCCCTTAGATTGATTTTAATTTTGTCCCTCTCAGGGAACATGTTTGGGCACCCCTGGTCTAGTACATCTTTTTGTCCTTGACAACAAGGAGCAAAGGGCAACATCTGATAAAGACTGCTTACAGCCAAGGAGAAAGCCAAAGAAATAGACATGATGAGAAAGAAAATATATTTCTCAGAAGTAAGCAGACAGTGAAATAAAAAGAATCAAATATTCAAATAAAAAAACAAAATTTGAAATGTATTACATATTGGTGGTTGTGTTCCTGACARTAGCAAGTTGTTGTTTTTTTAATGTGTTATTCTTGAACTAAATCTTATTTATAAAAGCTGAAGTTTTACCCTTACCCTTGACTCTAAAGAGCATGCAGCACATTTACAGAGACAAAAAACACATTACATTACAGCAGATCCAACCAGAAACTGCTGGTAAACTCAGGTGACCGGATTAACATGAAAAACTCCTCAGACCACACTAAAAAGAAAACACTTTGACCTGGTCTGCGCTGACACATGTCAGGGCTGTGACTCCTGTTTAACATGTTAATTCTTSACAACAGCACACCCATGTCTTTTTATATGTAAGTGAAGAGCAACAGGTTATACACGTTCACGAGAAACCCTGCTCAGTGTTTTCAGTGYGTCTTTGTTATTCATTTACTCTGAAATGAAGAACGTAAAATGTCAAGCGTTTCTCAAGATGTCCGTTTTCACTTAAAATAAAATCCCTCGCTGTAAAAACTACAGAAATGTCATTTTCTGTAAAAATGCGGTGAATTCTGAATGATCTTGGAGAGATTAGTTCTAAAAAGTTGAAAGCTAAAAAGAGAAAATGCTAATTAAAGAATAATAGGAGCAAATTGCTAGCTAAAAGGTAAAACAAGCTAAATGGTAGCCACAGCTAAAAGTAGCAAAATGCTAACTTAAAGCTAAAAATACCTACACTGGACAAAAACAGCAAAAATAATAGCTTAAATTGAGTCAAAACATTAGAAAAAATAGAAAAAGCTACTAGAT